TTCTTCAAAAAGAGTATATTTTCATACAATACAGACATGACCAGAACATAATTATTATGTACATCAGAATAGCCAAATAAATACACATTACTATTAAGTAATATTATCAATATTCTATTCTCAAAGATGCTTACCGCCGACGTTTTCCACGTAATTGTAGGCGCTTCCCTTAAGTAAGGAATAAAATTCGTTTCAAACTTTTTTTTTTCAATTTTTATTTTTTGTCTTAATTTCCCGTGAAGACTTAAATGCTTCTCTTTTCAATTTTTTCTCTTTTCTTTAAAATCAAGCTTTTTATTGCTAACGTTTTAATCCAGTTATCTAATATCTATGAAGAAGAAATAAAAAAAAATAGAAGAGTAAGTAGGAAAAAAAAAACATATATATATCGTTTTCCATAACAAAGCACAGGGTTATTAACAGGCTCTCTCTTATCACAACAAAAGGAAGGGGTTTTTGGTGTCTGAAACGAAGATTAAACCTCACCTTCAGAACGCGCCTTAAAACACGGGTGTGCATAACATCGCCATCCACTGAGAAACACGCCTCCACGGGGAGCTCACGTGTCCACTAAATAAGACGCACGTGTCCGCGAGGAATCACGTGTCCAGCTGAGAAGAAACGTGCGATCACTGAGAGACGCGGGGAGAGTCATCGGCGAGGGGGGGCGAAAAAAAAGGAAAAGAAAGGAAAAGGAAAAAAAAAATGTATAAGACTCAATCAAGTGCCTATGGAAAATAAGGACACATATGGATACAAGTCTAAACTTTTTTTTTTTCCTTTCTTTTTCTTTCTTTTTTTTTCTTGTCCCATACACCGCGACCCATACGTGTCTCCCGAGATACGCATGCCGACATGACCAGGTAATGAGAAAAATGACATGAGGATGAATATACATGTTATGAGATGAGACATGAGGAAGAGGATAGTGGCCATTTCTTTTATTTTTATCCATGTTTTTTTTTCTTTCTTTTTTTTTTTTTTAATATCGACGTTATTAGGTCACCACTACCTTAATCGGATGACGTGTGACTGGTGGATTCGCGGGCACGAAAGAAATAATAACAATGGTAATGTTAATAGAAAAAGTGTCATTACTGAGGGGGGAAAAATTATATATGGGATGAAAAACCCCGGTCATGGTTGAACATTCTTGAACAAACCGCGAGTTCTCTTTTTTTTATATATTTTTTTGTGTTTTTTTTATTTATTTATTTTAATTATTTTTGCCTCGACGACACTGGGCATGTGTCGAGTGAACAACACTAGGATTCTTGTCGATCTGAGCGCTGCAACAACTGGCTGAGAAACAGACACTCCAACCTATAATTTCTCTCTCTCTCATCTCCCTCCCTCCCCCCCCCCTTTCCCCATTCTCTCTCTCTCTCCTTCTCTCTCTCTCTCTCTCTCTCTCTCTTTCTATCTATTTCTTCAATTACATCTCAGGGGGGGGTTTATCAGGCAGCCAATCGGGAAAGGTGATTTTTATCATCGTTATCATCATCATCATCATCATCATCATTCGTTATCATTATCATCTCTGTCGCCGTTATCGAGTGTCTTAGCCAATAATCAAACAGCGTTATCACGACAAGATGTTTTGTGTTTTATTTTTTTTTGGAAAAAAAACAGCAACAAATGGACATGGGTTACTAGTTATAGCATTGGTGTACAGAGGGCAGCACTTAGTCATGAAAAAAATATAGTAATAGTGATAATAATAATAATAATAATAATAATAATAATTAATGATAATAAAGATATTCAGAATGTCCGATTGAGTAATTTGCTAAGAAATTTATCACATTAATTCACAATATTGAAAATTCGTCCAAAATCATACGAAGGACATATATTATATACATAATATCACTGGGCCATTAAAAGATAAAACGAGATAGACAGATAGATAGATACGATAGACAGGGAAGGTAATTTGCATTTCTTTGTAGACTGAAAAAAAAATATTCGTGCTTTTTTTTAACGAGAAGAAAATTTCTTGACGAAAGTGTAAGAAAGAAAGTGAGACATCTGGAGGGGAAAATATTAATAACACTTGTAATAGTTGAAAATGCAGATAAATTAATAAAAAAAATGAAAATAATAATAATAATAATAATCATCAACGATAACCAATGATAATAATAATCACACTACGAATAATGATAATAACAATGATAATCATAATACCAATAATATCCATTACGAATCATAACTAACAATATCCCCACAAAAAAACAGAACAAATTCACCCGAGGCATTTTTTATCTATTCATTATTTTTTTTTTTATACCAACGGTGCCCCAAGGTCGCTCGCGCTGCCCTCCTGACCAAGCCGAGGAAATTACACAGAAGGGGGAAAAAAATAAAGGAATTATCATATTGCGAGGGTCACAGTACCGACAGCGCCAAGGTATATCAAAATAATTGTGCAAAATATCCTTAACAAGAATCTTTGCTTTGTGAAAATAATGTGTTTTTTTTTTTTTTTAAGTATTTATTTGTTTGTTTTTTTCTGTTTTGTTTGAAATCTTCGTGTTTATTTTTTTTCTCTCTTTTCTTTTCTCTTTATTTTTCTTGTTTCATTTTATTTTCTCGTAATTGTTGATATCATCGGGCTGCGGTTCTATAAACAATGCTGCAGTTTTTATTGTTTTAAAACTGTCTGTTTATTTTGTATATCATTATTATTTTAGTAATGTGATGAAAAAAAAAAATCATTTCAGAGAATCATTTCCAAATCTGTAATGAATTAATCACTTGTTGAATTAGATGGTCGGCCTAGAGTTTATTTTAGGCTGGTTGGTGATGTGGTTTTTAAATGTATAAATGTTTGTTTGTTTTTTTACCTCGGGATCAGCCGCCCTTTGATATTTAAATCTCTGTTTTGAACTAATTCATCATAATTTTTTTTTTTAATCAGAAAAAAATCTTAAATTGTGGGTCTCTTTAAGTAGGCTTATAATGGTCTTTTTTATTCTTATTCTTATGCTACTTGATATTAAAAAAAAAAAAATGTTTACCACGAAAGTTGAATACCAAATATCCTCCGTCATGGCGCTTGATGTCGATAAGGGCGGTGATCCTATTGTTACAGCAGGTAATCTTGGTCCATGGAGGCTGATGCAGGAGGTTTAATAAATGCTGGATGGTTTAGTAAGGGATTTTGACCCACGGTCGAAAAAACAAACGTATTGATGATTTTTTTTTTTTTTAAACTTGAATAAAAAAAATGAAAAACATGATTATTAGCATCATTCTTTTAATGGTATCTAAGAACTAGGTTCATTTTGTTTTAACCCCACATACACTCAAGTAATAACCGACATTTTTTTTTCCACACCATCTATTCTCAGACAAGTCATAATTTCCATTTCATAAGCTTTCTCCTGTACACGAATGTTAAATATATTCACGATGCTCCTCTCTTCAAAGTTCTTTTTATTGTAGGCAGTCTATTAGAATGAAAATAAGAAAACACCCAGAGAAAACAAAGCACCATAGTATTTCCATTACAGCGGCCCTCTAGCGGCGCGCTGAGAAAACTACCTTACGTAGAGTTCACTGGATTTTTTATTATTATTATTATTTATGTATTTTTATTATTTTTTAAGAATCTTTAATGGTTAGTTTATGACATCCTCCAGAGGCCTAAGTCCGGGCCCCCGTCAGCTACACCGGCCTGGGGTGGCGGTTATGAGGTAAGACAGGTTTGGGTTACGCGCACACCAGTCAAAAGCTTTTCCTTGCCTCACACAAAGACACTTTTCGAGTTCACAGTCAGTCAGGTTCCTCAACACACGGGTCAGCACGACTATCACTGGTGGCTTCCGCGGAAACCTCTCGAGGGTTCGGTTTTGTGATTATTAATTTTTTCGTATATTTTTTTTTTCCAGATACATTTTTGTCCAGGAAGACCGGCGCGCCAGCACTGGGAGGTCCAACACAAACTTTACATTTGTCTATACTTTATATATCGTGGGCGCTGCCATGACTTCACGTTGCTAAACTTAGTCTGTATACTTGACATTATACACGCACAACGCGATCATGGTGCACACGCACACATGTACACGCACAGACATACACCCGCAAACAGCTGCTGTCGGTCCGCTCTTTGGTATACGCTCTACTAACAAGTAGTTTACGGACTATTTACACGTGCAATATACAACACAGTGTCGACCATGACACACCGTGCTTCCGGAGCTTTGTGCACGTCTTGGGGTCGCCCACGAATATTTATTTGCACTGGTAGCATTTTGATTGGCGAGAGAGGCCCGGTGACCCGCCCGGGCTCTCCTGGCCTTCCGTGGCCCGCCCTCCGGCTGACCTGGCCTCCCGTCTGCCCCGCGGCCCGGGTCACGGCCGCCGGCCCGTCGCGAGGGGGCAGCGGCGGGAGGGAGAGGGCTAGAGGGGGCTGGAGGAGCAGACGGATCCACCGCTCAGGGCGTTGACGGCCACGAGGTGGGTGTGCAGGTGAGCGGAGGCGGCCCTGGGGGCCCGCCCTCACTTGTCAGAGAGTTTCAGAGGGTCCGGTAAGTCCGGACGCCGATCTAAGCCGTTCACCATCTTTTCGATCGATTTGAGTTCCGACGCGACGTTCGCTGCGTGGGCGGCGGAGCGGCGGACGCCCTCCTCCAGGCGGGAGCCCGCCTTGGGGCTCACGGCCTGGAAGGCCGAGGAGCCGCCGAGGGGCGCCTCTCCGATCAGCGAGGACGAGAGCGTGGGCGTGATGCAGGACGACGACAACGACGAGGAGAGCGAGGAGGACAGCATGGACGAGAGGGAGGCGGCCGTGGACGAGGGCAGGTAGGGCGTGAAGCGAGGCGGCTTGAGGCGGTCGGGCAGCAGCGGCGAGGGCGCGGCCGGCGAGGACGACGTGGGCGGCGCGGCGCTGAGGGAGCCGCTTGCCGTGCCGCTGCCGCCGCCGGACGAGACCGCGAGGCCGGCCAGCCCTTGGTAGTTGTGGGAGCCCAGGAGGTGGTGGCCGGCGCCCGCCAGCAGGTTGTGCGCCAGCAGGAGGTTGTGGGCCACGGGGAGGGAGGTCGGCGGAGTGAGAGGGGAGGAGCCGTGGGGCGGCGCCCCTGCGCCCGTGCCTAGCAGAGGTAGCTGTAAGCCGTGGGGGTTGAGGCCGGAGTTGGAGGCCCCGGGCAGCATGAGGCCGTGGAGGCCCGCCAGGCTCTGCGCTGCGCCGGGGTACAGCCCGTGGGGGTACAGGTACGGCAGGAGGTGCGGCGGCTGGAAGGGCGGCCCCACGCTGATGTTGGGCGTGGGCTCCGCGCCCCCCGAGCCCGAGGGCTCGTCTTTCTCCGGCGCCGCCTTCTTCAGGGCCGCCAGCATGCCGGCGTCGTCCATGTCGGAGTCCAGGTCGCTCTTCCGCTTGACGGAGTCGCGGCCCGAGTCGTCGGCGGCGTTGTTGTTGGTCTCCTCGCCCGACACGTCCGAGTCCATCAGCTCGCCTGCAACGATCAAAAACACGGGTCACGCTCTCGCAAAACACAATCGGGGTTATCAGTCAGTATAGCCAAGCCTCGCGCGAAACAGCGAGCCGCGCCGCCGAGGAAGAGGAGAAAGGAAGGAGAGGAGGAGCAGGAGGAAGGTTCCTCAGACAGAAACACGCGCCACACAAAGGCCGCGGCCAGGGGCTTAGGAGTCGGAACAGGAAAGGGAGACAAAAGCGGCGGCGCAACTCGTCAGCGGCGGCGGCGGCGGCGCCTCGTCCTTACCGTGAGCAGGGTCGCCGTGGGAGTCCGTCGTGCCCACCACGTCCAGCCGCTCGTCGTCGTCGTCGTCGTCGTTGTCCTTATGGTTCTCGGAGTCCATGGCGGCGTTCTCGGGGTAGCTGCGGATGTTGGGCAGCGCGATCTGGTGGTCCGCCTTCTGCTCTTCGTTGGCCCGCGTCATGATCACGTTTCTGCAAAAGGAAGAACTGCAAAATTTAGTGAAATATCTGCATCGGTTCAGATTGAATCGAACGGAATCACTTTCCTTTTTTTTTAATGACAGATGAGACATAAATATAAATAGACACATAAACAGACATGAGTGAGAATGGTAGTGAGCTTAAAATAAGACGAGATATCTAGAAAACGACAACAATAATACGAGAGAAAGATACCCACTAAATACCCTGTTAAGCTCCACCTCCTATTAGCCAAACGTCACACAATCTCGCCGCTAAGAACGAGATTAACACTTCCTCCGTCCCTCCCTCTCCCCCCCCCAACGTCTCCCCTCCCTCCCCCATCCCCCTCCTTCTCTCCCTCCCATATAACAGATTTGTCAAGAGCTCTCTCTCTCTATATCTCTCCCTCCCTCTCCCACCTACCTTCCCACCCTCCCTCCCTCTCTCCCTCCCTCCCTCTCTCCCACCCTCCCTCCCTCCTTCCCTCCTTCTCTCCCTTTCTCACTCTGTTCATCACCATTTCCGGCTTTTCCTCTTCCTTGATCTTCCTATTATCGCTCTCCAGGTGTGAGATCCGCCGCCTCTGATCCCCAGGTACGAGGAGAGGGCGAGAGACAGAGAAAAAGGTCGCTAAGGTCGCTTTTAACTCGCACAGGAGTTGCTGAGTTAAAATCCTTTGAGTTGGAATGGAATCGGTCGAGTGGTCTCGGTGGGCGGCTCCTCTGATGACCTGGCCGTGTGCGTGCGTGTGCGGATGTGTGTGTACGTGTATGGTATGTGTGTGTGCTATAAGGGTCTACGAATGGGCATGTAAATATATGTGTATGTTTATACATATCTATATCTATATCTACACACACACACACACACACACACACACACACACACACACACACACACACACACACACACACACACACACACACATATATATATATATATAATATATATATATATATATATATATATATGCGTGCGTGCGTGCGTGTGTGTGTGTGTGTGTGTGTGTGTGTGTGTGTGTATTCATTTAGATCACACACACACACACCTCCCGCCCCCCCAGAGGCCCCGCGTCCCACCGTGCCACAGCAGCCCGGAGACCAATCAAAGGAGATCATTAAATCTAATTCGGAGGCGGCACCGACAAGGAGGTCCAGCGGAGGTACACAGCCCGCCTTGTTCTGTGCCAGTGGCCGCACTTCCTGCCCGGAGGGAGGGGGAGGGGGTGAGGAGGAGGGGGAGGGGGGATGGGGGGTGAGGAGGAGGAGAAGGGAGGGAGGGAGAGGAGGGAGAGAGAGAGAGAGAGAGAGAGAGAGAGAGAGAGAGAGAGAGAGAGAGAGAGAGAGAGAGAGAGAGAGAGAGAGAGAGAGAACGAAAGAGAGAAAGAGACAGAGGTGTGGAGAGAAAAAAAGAAAAGAAAACCACATTAAAAAAAAAGAATAAGAACAAAAAAAACAAACCATAAAAATCACACACACACACACATACGAAAGAAAGAAACAAAAAAGAAACTCAACAACAGATCAAAGAGATATCTAAACTATCGACACCAATAAACAGCCTTTTTTCCCCAACCTGTTGCAGATATCTCGATCAGCCTAATCAAATATTCTCAATAGATTTCGCTCGCTTTGCACCCCTTCCCGAGGACAGCTTTCATCACGCCCGAATGCATCTTGACGGAAATACTTGCCAATTAAGAGAGAAAATGTATGCACATACACCTTGTATTTATCTATTTCCCTGTCTATTTACTTATGCACACACACACACACACACACACACACACACACACACATATATGTATGTATGTATGTATGTATGTATGTATGTATGTATGTGCATATATATATATATATATATATATATATATATATATATATATATATATATATATATATATATATATATATATACCATACAAAAGTACCTGTCAACGTCCTACTACTTCACAAAAACATAAATAAAAACAAAAAAACAAAAAAATCCTAAACCTTTCCTTCTTGAACAGCGAACCCACACAACAGTTGGAAGAGGAGGGGGGAGGGAGGGGGGAGGGGGGAGGCAGTGACAGACTATAAGGCGGTTTCACCCAAATCACTATGGAAAACCGAACCCTGCTATTGGTCGACGATCATGAAGAAGCCCTAATTAAGCGGGTCTGTCGGTACCGCTACACCATGTATAAGCAAATAAATAAATAAATAAATAAATAAAGAGAGAGAGAGAGAGAGAGAGAGAGAGAGAGAGAGAGAGAGAGAGAGAGAGAGAGAGAGAGAGAGAGAGAGAGAAAGAGAAAGAGAGAGAGAGAAAGAGAGAGAGAGAGAGAGAGAGAGAGAGAGAGAGAGAGAGAGAGAGAGAGAGAGAGAGAGAGAGAGAGAGAGAGAGAAATTGCCTAACCGACCTGGCTAAAAGGTGATGGATCTCCCACTGCAAGCGCCACATTGACACAACCATCCCGGAAACTGAACACACAATCGTGGGTTAAATAACAGCCATTGCTTCTAACTTCTTCCTCCCCCCACCCCCCCCACCCCTATCCCTTCCTATCCCCACGCCCCCATCCTCCTCTTCCCTCCCTCCCTCCCTCTAGTCTTCAATCTCTCCCTCAATCTCCCCCTCCCCCCTTTCTTCCTCCCTCCCTACCCCCTCCCTCCTCGCTATTGTCTCCCACCCTGTGCCCTATACCCTCCCCCCCCATAGTTTTCAACCCCCCTCCCTACCCTGCTCCTGGACCCTCCCCCCCCTACCCACTACTAACAGGCCCCCCTCCTCCCTCTCCCTACTACCCCCTCCCTCCTCCCCAGAGAGAGAGAGAGAGAGAGAGAGAGAAAAGAAGAGAAGAGAGAGAGAAAAGAGAAAAGAGAAAAGAGAAAAGTAGAGTAGAGAAGAGAAGAGAAGAGAAGAAAAGAAAAGAGAAGAGAGGAAAGAAAGAAATAAAGACAGAAAAAGAGAAAGAGACAGAGAGAGATAAAGATCGAGAAGTAAGACAGACAGACAGACAGACAGACGATCATGCCGCCAGGAAAAACACACACACTCGCTACTTCCAGCTCAAGTAGTGTATAATTTTCGGGTTGTGTTCCCAAGGCGACGGAAGCGAAGGATGATGTATTGGCGGGGAGGGAAGGGGGGGAGAGGGGGGAAGGGGGGGAGAGGGGGGAAGGGGGGGGGAAGGGGGGAGAGGGGGGAAGGGGGGAGAGGGGGGAAGGGGGGGAGACCAGGTACATATAACCCCCTTCCCCCCTTTCCCCCTTCCCCCTCCCCCCCTCCTTCACTCTCCCCGCCCATGACATGAGGAAGGGCGGTGGGCGGAGGAGGAGGGGGAAGGAAGGATTGGAAGAGGAAGAGGAATAATAGGAAGAGGAGGAGGAGGAGGAGAAGAAGAATAGCAAGATAAAGAATAAGAACGAAGAAGGCGAAGAGGAAAAACAAGAAGAAGAAAAAAAAACAGAAAAGAAGGGGGGAGAGAAGACGAAGAAGAAGAAGACGAAGAAGAAATAGAAAAAAAGAAGACGAAAACGAAGAAGACGAAAACGAAGAAGAAAAAGAAGAAGAAGAAAAAGACGAAGAAAAAGAACAAGAAGAAAACGAAGAAGAAGAAAACAAACAACAACAACAACCCCAACACCAAAAATAAACACACACACAAAAAAAAATAATAATAACAAGAAGAAGACAAACGGAGGCGGACGATTTTTCGCGCCAAAAAGTGGTCGCCTTCCAGCCCGCCATCGCAACGGTAATGGTTCGGTAATGGCGGTAATGATAACAATTTAAATCAGTCTCTTGAAATTATCAGACGCAATGGTCAATTAGAAGTGTGTAAGTTTCCTTTTGTAAAGTCTTTTTTTTCCCCTCTTTTATTGCATTTTTGTGGTGTGTGTGTGTGTGTGTGTGTGTGTGTGTGTGTGTGTGTGTGTGTGTGTGTGTGTGTGTGTGTGTGTGTGTGTGTGTGTGTGTGTGTTTATATGTATGTGTATATGTATGTATGTATGTATATATATATATATATATATATATATATATATATATATATATACAGATACATACATATAGACAGACAGATAGATAGATAGATACATACATGAACCTCTTCATTATGTAGGCAAGGTTGAGTTTATTATTAGGATCAAATTCCCGATCGCAGGCTAAAGCAACGAGCAGAAAATTCCCCGACGCAACAGATCCTCCATTATCACGTGGAACGCCCCCCTCCCCCCTCCCCTGCCCCATCACAATACCTACCCCTACCCCTTCTCCCCATTCCTCCCCACCACAATCCCTACCCCTCCACCCCCACCCACCCTCTTTCTCCCAAACTTGCAACCCCGTGCAACAATCGCACCGGGGGAGTGGGGAGGGGGGAGGGAAGAGGAGGGGGATTAGTGCCTCATCCACCCCCCCTCCCTCTCTCCCCTTACCCCATCCCCCATCCCTTCCCCCCATCCTTCCCCAAGCTGTTTGTTGGTCGATTGCAACAATGAATTTAGCGTAATGGGCAAGGCAAGCCGAAAATGCCCTGCTTTCGTGGCCGGAGACGCGGAGTTCCTTCCCCGAGGCGTCTTGTGGGGGGGGGGGGAGTCCTATGCGCCCCTCATGTGTGTGTGTGTGAGGTGGGAGGAGTGTTCTCTCTATCTATCTATCTATTTATCTATCTATCTGTCTATGGAAGTATTTTTTCTACCAGTATCTCTATCTATGTATCTTTCTATCTTTCTTTCTCCTTCTCTATTCCTATAAATGTCTATATTAACGAAAAGACAGAAAAATATAACAAAAAAGAAAACGACAAGAAAAAAATTGTCAAAATTCATCAACAACAGAAACATCTTAAAATCCACCGACAAAAAACACACATAACCATCCATTAACAATACCCCCCTCCCCCCTATACACTCTCCTCCCCTCCACCCCCCCCAAAAAAAAAAATCACAACAATAACAGAGAGAGAGAAAAAAAAAAAAACTAAAAAAAAAAGCTATTTCTCATCCGTCCATTCCGACGTCACGAGGAAAATGTAT